TTGTGAGCAGATTGTCCAATATTCACTGCCATACAGGACGATTGATATTACATAACAGTTTAGTCATTTAATTTTTCTTTGTAGCTAATAAATTTTGTCTTTTTCTTATCCTTCCTAAACTAAGCAGCCACCCACTTGACCCAGGGCTGCACTACCTCCTCAGGAATTTGATGTAGGCCTCTGTGTTTAGACTAAAAATAACATTAATCTTCTTTTATATGCTGTGTCCATTCAGGAAGTAGGTGATCATGGCTCTCCACAATTTCCTTCTCTTTGTAAAATTTTGTCCTTTTGTTGTCTCTCCCAAAACTTATCCTGCAATCCATTTAATCAAGCTCACTAAGTAGGTTTATGCATTGTTTTCCTCTTTCCCTCAATCTGTCCTGTGAGGATCAGATTTTCCCAGCCCCCATGTACCTTAGAAATTTAAACTGTCTCTTCCTGATGGTAAGTCAAGTTTAAACGTCTACCATAATACAAGGAACTAAAAAGACCTCAAAAGTTTTCACTCACTTCACAAAATACGATTAAATTTTTTAAGAAAGAAAATAAAAAAGAAATAAAAATTCTGAAGAAATTAGGAAAGAAAGAAAGAAGAAAGAAAGAAAGAAATTAAAAGAAATTAAAGGAAAGAAAAGAAAAAAGAAGAAAGAAAGAAAGAAATTAGGAAAGAAAGAAAGAAGAAAGAAAGAAATTAGGAAAGAAAGAAAGAAGAAAGAAAGAAATTAGGAAAGAAAGAAAGAAGAAAGAAAGAAATTAGGAAAGAAAGAAAGAAGAAAGAAAGAAATTAGGAAAGAAAGAAAGAAGAAAGAAATTAGGAAAGAAAGAAAGAAGAAAGAAATTAGGAAAGAAAGAAAGAAGAAAGAAATTAGGAAAGAAAGAAAGAAGAAAGAAATTAGGAAAGAAAGAAAGAAGAAAGAAATTAGGAAAGAAAGAAAGAAAGAAAGAAATTAGGAAAGAAAGAAAGAAAGAAAGAAATTAGGAAAGAAAGAAAGAAAGAAATTAGGAAAGAAAAGAAAGAAAAAGAAAATTAGGAAAGAAAGAAAGAAGAAAAAAGAAATTAGAAAGAAGAAAGAAATTAGGAAAGAAAGAAAGAAGAAAGAAATTAGGAAAGAAAGAAAGAAGAAAGAAATTAGGAAAGAAAGAAGAAGAAAAGAAAGAAAGAAATTAAGAAAGAAAGAAAGAAGAAAGAAAGAAAAGAAGAAAAGAAATTAAGGAAAGAAAAGAAAGAAAATTAGAAAAGAAAGAAATTAGGAAAGAAAGAAAGAAGAAAGAAAGAAATTAGGAAAAAAGAAAGAAGAAAGAAAAGAAATTAAAGGAAAAGAAAGAAAAGAAAGAAAGAAAAAGAAATTAGGGAAAGAAAAGAAAGAAGAAAAAAAAGAAATTAGGAAAGAAAAAAAGAAGAAAGAAAGAAATTAGGAAAAAGAAAGAAAGAAAGAAAGAAATTAGGAAAAAAAGAAAGAAAAAGAAAGAAAGAAATTAGGAAAGAAAGAAAAAGAAGAAAGAAATTAGGAAAGAAGAAAGAAAGAAGAAAGAAATTAAATTAGGAAAAAAAGAAAAGAAAAAGAAAGAAATTAGGAAAAGAAAGAAAGAAGAAAGAAAAGAAAGAAATTAAGGAAAGAAAGAAATTAAGAAAGAAAAGAAATTAGAAAGAAATTAGAAAGAAAGAAAGAAAAGAAATTAGGAAAGAAAGAAAGAAAAAGAAAGAAAATTAAAGAAGGAAAGAAATTAGGAAAGAAAGAAAGAAAAGAAATTAGGAAAGAAAAAAAAGAAAAAAGAAAGAAATTAGAAAAGAAAGAAAAAGAAAGAAAGAAAATTAGGAAAGAAAGAAAGAAAGAAAGAAATTAGGGAAAGAAAAAAAAAAGAAAGAAAAAGAAATTAGGAAAAGAAAGAAAGAAGAAAGAAATTAGGAAAAAAAAGAAAAAAAAGGGAAAAGAAAGAAAGAAAATTAAGAAAGAAAAAAAAAGAAAAAACAAGGAAAGAAAATAAAAAGAAAAAGAAAGAAGAAAAGAGAAATAGAAATTAAGAAAAGGAAGGAAGAAAGAAAGAAAAAAGGAAAAAGTAAAAAAGAAAGAAAAAAAAAAAAGAAATTAAAAGATACAAAAAAGAAATTAATTTAAGAAAGAAAAAAGAAAGAAATTAAAAATAAAAAAAAATAAAAAAAAAATATATAAAAAAAGACTAAAAATTATATAAGTATAAAAGAAAAGAAGAATAAAAAAAAGAAAAAAAAAAAAAAAAAAGAAAGAAAGAAAAAAGAAAGAAAGAAAAAGTAAAAAGAAGAAAGAAAAATTAAGAAAGAAAATTTAAGAAACGAAAAAAAAAAGAAAATATATAAAAGTCGATGCCAAAAATGAAGAATAAAAAAAATGCAAAAAAAAAAAAAAAAAAAAGAAAGAATGCAAAAAGAAAAGAACAAGAATTAAAAAACAAAAAAAAAAAAATGAATAGCAATGGATTCTCTTAAAAAAAAAAAACGTCTAATGAATTACTATGAATTACATTTTTTTTTTTTTTAGAATCTGGGTCATTTTAAAATACTTTAGTCGATGGGAAATTCTGAAATCTTTTCGCTATATACATGTCACTTTATTAAATATACCTGCACAAAACTACAGAGAACTCATAAATAACCTAAACCAAAGCAAACATACAACTGAATTAACAAATAGAAAAAAAAAAAAAAACAAAGTATAAGTATACCTAACGAACTGATCTTTTTCTATGTACTGTGGCCCCTCAAAATGTAGGCGATCAAGGCTCTCCACAATTTCTTGTCCTTTGTAGCTCTTAATAAGTTTTCTTCTTTGTCTTATCTTTACTAAACCTTGTTCCGTCATCTATTTACTCAAGCTCACTCAGTAGCTTTTGCATTGTTTTTCTCTATCCTTTTTGCTCTCAATCTGTCCAGCGAGTATCAAATTTTCAAAGCCCTCATAATACGCCCCAGAAATTTATATTGCCTCTTCCTGAAATTTCCTTTTCGTTTCCATTTTCTTTAAAACTTCGTCGTTGCTCACATGCTCAGTTCATGGCATCCTCAGCATCATTCTGTAGAAGAATATTCCTCTTGCTTCAAGTTTCATCATCATCTTTGAGGAGATTGCCCAACATTCAATGCCATACAGAAGGACAGGTATCACGTAACATTTCAGTAACATTTTCTTTGTTTCTAACGAATTTTTTTTTACCGTTTTTTTCCGTCCTTTGTTAAAACACTTCCCAGATATTTAAATTTCCCTGTTTCTTAATACTTTGCTTAGCTTTTGGAAGGCATCTTTCGCTATCCCAATGCGCCTTCAGATTTCAGTGTCACACTTTCCGTCCTTTGTTAAAACACTTCCCAAATATTTAAGTTGTACTTGTTTGTTTTCTCTAATTTGTAATTTAAGTTGCGTAAAAACAAAAACGGAACATTTCAAGTGAAATTCGAAATAAAGCACAACTGCTGACGATGCTTCTTGAAAGCAGACGAGAGTAAAAAATTACCCGCACTTTCGCCATGACATGTCTTTAGGTCTGTCACACTGCCTTCTGCTCATGCGTGCTTATAGTTGGTACTGTTGTGGTCACGGGATCGAAGTTTGAGCTGGATCGCGTCAGTTTTTCTTGCTGCACTTACAGTGTGAACATGGCCGCTCCGCTAGCAGTGTGCCTCAAGGAAGAACAAAGAGCAGTGATCCCAATCTGCAGAGAAAATGCTACCTCATCGATGAGAACTAGCCTGTTCGTTATTAGGATCTCTCGAGCTTGCTGACCATTCTCGTCAGGAGGTGGAGGCTGACGGGCGTCCTGCTCATTCTTCGTGCGTCACGCTTGTCCGGCCACTTTTAAACTTCTTTATCCACTCATGCACACTCCCACGCGGTAGCGCACTGCTACCGTATTGCGTGTTAAAAGTCCCGGATGAGTTTCAGCCGCATGATCACTGCTCTTTGTTCCTCCTTGGTGCACACTGCTGCCGGGGCGGTCATGTTTACGCTGTAACAGCAGCAAGGACAAATGTCGCGATCAATCACATGCGTTGAAGGCAATGTGACAAACCTAAAAATATGCTATGACTACAATACATTAAAGTAATTCACAGAAACATTATCCGCCTTCCATGAAATGCGAATGACGGAAATTTATTCCGGGTTTAATGGGATAAACAGTCGAAGATTTTCATTCTGATAACTACGACTTTCTTATACAAAGTGCGGTAGAAACACCTCCCACATGTTAAACTGTCACCTGTCTGGTGATATTGAACTTTGGTAAGTACCAAGGGTGTCTTCATCTAGCTAATGTCTTAACATTTTTTTTTCTTTGATACCATCATGTCTTGGACTGATGTACACCGAACGTTTGCTGTTGAAAACTTTTTTAAAGACTGTTGAATCTGTAATTGCAGCACAAAAGCATTTTTTTTTTTTTGCTCATTTTATGTTACGTTGGAATGATGCTGTTCCGGATAGAAAATCGGCACTGCTATGGGTTGAAAATTCCAAGACCACAGGTTCAGTGCTTAAAAGAAACCCACGTGGAAGACCTCAAAATTCTACATGATGGCAAACTTTAGAAATCGTCTACAACAGCGTATGGCGAATAGAGGTTACCATCGAGAATACGCCATTTTTAAACCCAAGTGAATAAAAACTGTAGCCCTTTGTTTAAATAAGGAAATAATTTATTTTAGTAGCAGTTACCTTGAACTTTTTATCAATCTTTAAGATATGGGAGGTATTTCTGTCGCATCCGATAGTTTTCTTTCTCTGCCGTACCCACCACATTTTTTTTTTTAATATTAAATTTTGTTTAACACAGTGACTAACATCCCCTCGGAGGCCATGTTAACTTTTTAGGAAGCAGTCAGAGTTCAAGAGAATTATAAAGAACAGAGTAACATTTTCGTACCATAGGAAGATAATTTAACCTTAAGTGGAACAAGTCAACATTTTGTATACGACGTTAAAAAAAAACAAAAAAAAACAAAAAACGCAGTAATGAAAATTGAGAAATTAGCAAAGAAAGGAACAAAGAAAGAAAGAAAGAAAGGAACAAAGAAACAAAGAAAGAAAGGAACAAAGAAGAAAGAAAAAAGGAACAAAAAGAAAGAAAGAAATAAAGAAAAAAGGAACAAAAAGAAAGAAAGAAATAAAGAAAAAAGGAACAAAAAGAAAGAAAGAAATAAAGAAAAAAGGAACAAAAAGAAAGAAAGAAATAAAGAAAAAAGGAACAAAAAGAAAGAAAGAAATAAAGAAAAAAGGAAAAAGAAAGAAAAAAAAAAAAAAAAAGAAAAAGGAAAAAGAAAAAAGAAAAAAGAAAAGAAAGAAAAAAAAAAAAGGAAAGAAAGAAAAGAAATAAAAAAAAAGGAACAAAGAAAGAAAAAAGGAACAAAGAAAGAAAGAAAGAAAGAAAAAAGGAACAAAGAAAGAAAGAAAGAAAGAAAAAAGGAACAAAGAAAGAAAGAAAGAAAAAAAGAACAAAGAAAGAAAGAAAGAAAAAAGGAACAAAGAAAGAAAGAAAGAAAGAAAAAAGGAACAAAGAAAGAAAGAAAGAAAAAAGGAACAAAGAAAGAAAGAAAGAAAAAAGGAACAAAGAAAGAAAGAAAGAAAAAAGGAACAAAGAAAGAAAGAAAGAAAAAGGAAAGAAAGAAAGAAAGAAAGGATTTTTTTAAACAAAGAAAGAAAGAAATAAAGAAAAAAGGAACAAAGAAAGAAAGAAATAAAGAAAAAAGGAACAAAGAAAGAAAGAAATAAAGAAAAAAGGAACAAAGAAAGAAAGAAATAAAGAAAAAAGGAACAAAGAAAGAAAGAAATAAAGAAAAAAGACGAAAGTTTTATTTTGAAACAAAGAAAGAAAGAAAGAAAGAAAAATTTTCTTTTAGAAAGAAAGAAAGAAAAAAGGAACAAAGAAAGAAAGAAAGAAAGAAAAAAGGAACAAAGAAAGAAAGAAAGAAAGTTAACAAAGAAGAAAGAAAAAAGAAAAAAGGGCAAAGAAAGAAAAGAAAAAAAAAAAGAAACAAAGAAAGAAAGAAAGAAAATAAAAAAACAAAGAAATTTAAAAGAAAGAAAAAGAAACAAAGAAAGAAAGAAAGAAAGAAAAAAGGAACAAAGAAACCCTTGAAAAGAAATGTTTTAAGAAACAAAAAAGAAAAGAAAGAAAGAAAAAAAGGAACCGATTCAAAAAAGAAAGGGAAAAAGAAAGAAAGGGATAAAAGGAAACTCTAAAGAAAGAAAAAAAAAGGAACAAAGAAAGAAAGAAAGAAAAAGGAAACAAAGAAAGAAATAATTCAAACAAAGAAAGATTCAAACAAAAAACAAAGAATAAAGTAAAGATCCGAAGAGGATTTTTTTTTGAATTTCCTCTTGAGTCGGCCTGATTACATTGAATTATGTTGAGGTACCATTTGTCTAGGAGTAAATAAAAAAACGGACAGTTTTATTTTGAAAACACTGAATTTGAGAACAATATGAATTTAATTTGAACATGAGCCTGTTCAAAGTTAAATTCCAGTTATCAGCAGATGCCAAAATGGCGGAATCCGAAAAGCAATCGCAGTTCTTTTAATTTTTCCGAAATGTTTTCGTCTGTTCTGGACCCTGATCCTCAGGACCGGCCTCAGGGAATAGATTTTGTTCTTACTTCTCGGTCGGCCCCGAAAAAATAGAGATGTAATCCGAAAAAAAAATGCTCTATGAGAAATGTTTATTGTTTTGAAACGTGCGATCGCAACGCCGAGTTTGAATTTAAATTTTAAAAAAAAAAATGTGCGTTTTTGATTTAAAAAGAGAATTCTTTTTTTACTGGTAGATTTTCCGTCTATGTGGCATGAACTATATTGTTCAATAATTACAGTAATGTCTACCAGTAAAAAGAATTTTCTTTGTACAAAAAAAACGCACAACCTTGAAATTTAAATTCAAACTCAGCGTTGCGACCGCACGTTCCAAAACAATAACACATTTCCGATAGCCTTTTTCGGATTACATCTCTATTTTCGTTGTCCTTTATTACCGAGAAGCAAAACAAGAACAAAATCTATTTTTATACCTGAGGATATCTGTAAGAACAGACGAAAGCTTGTAAAAATTAAATGACCTTATTCAACTGGAATTTATAAACAGGGATCATGTCATTCATATACAGGTTCGGGGTTGATGTATTTTATTTATATTGTTTGCGAAGATGTATTCTCGCCATTTAAATCATTAACCTCTATACTTGTTTTTTGTATGAATGATTCATGAATTTATAAATTATAATTTGCACCTTTAATTGAAATATATATATATATATATATATATATATATATATACACACACACACACGGGGGTGTATACCTTATGTGTATTTGAAGCAAGCATGTTTTCTTGTTTTGGAGCACTTTCAAACGCGAAGCTGGTTCGCTTTATCCTAAGTATGAAATGCCAGGACAGAGTCACAAACCTTGTGGTCCTGCACCTCGATGTCATAATCCTGAAAGCCCAACGGGACATAATCATCAAGATGGGCAATGACAATCCCAAAGCAACTTCTCTATGCCAAGCTTTCTAAAGGAAAGAGAAAACATGGTAGGCCCTCGAAACGTTTTAAAGATTGCCTCAAAGCCAACATCGCCACGCATTTTGAAGAGTGCGCACAGGATCGAACAGGATGGTGTATGATGGCACGTGAAACATATAGAGACATTTGAGGCAACCCGATATGAGAGCATCAATGAGGCCAGGGAAAAAAATGGTAGAAGTACCCAAATGTACTGACCAGTTTTCCCTGTTCCCTTTGCGGACGTCTTCGCTATTTCTAGATTGGACTCTACAGTCACCTTCGAGTTCACCGCCAGCACATTGCCGAATCCGTATAGAACACTAGTCACTGAACGAGAGATGTGTGATATGAATGCAAGATTAGGAAGTGAGAAGTATGAGAGTATAGGTAGCGACTGCAGCATCTTTGATTTGTGCGGCTGGTTCGACCAACACGGAATCAGCCCTCTTTTCCACAAGCAGGACATCTGAATGGCAATAAAGAAAGCATTTATCCGCCGGCTGGACCAACTTTACTTCTGTGGTTTGAAAAGCGCCGAGACAGACACGTCGCCCACTGGTCCGACCAGCGGAAGCTTCGCCAACCGACCAAATCAACAGAACAAAAGCAGCACAAGACAAGTTACTTACAGTGCCTGCTGTTTCCAAACGCTAACCAAAGTCGACACTGCTTAACCTCGACAATTAAACTGGAACATATGTGTGAACCTTGATTCAGCCAAACAAATTAGCACTTGACCCGCTATACGTCTTACAAATGTCATCGTATGCAATCTAAAAATTATTACTAAGATTAATCTGACAGTGTCGCAACTGTAGGTCACTCACTGGGCAAAGATAAGTTGTAAAGTGCTCTAGACTATTCACTAATATTCTATAGCAAATATCTGTATAGATTCGCGAAGTTCAGTATTACGGGCGTGTAGTATGGCAGTTATCGCACGAGAAATGTGAACGGTATGCCGATTTCAAATTCCAGCCAAGATCATTAAATTAACTTTGGCACAAATACCTTTAGGAAACTCGTTTCTTGTAACGGCATTCACCCGAGGTGGGTTGAGCCGGCTCCAATATTGGAGTTTCATGGGAATTTGGAATTCACAAGCGTTCCCCAACCCGCATGTATAGCACATGAGATTTGATTATAGTGGTGAAGGTTTCGTGCAGGAGCATCCACACTTTTTGAAGGGCCGAATAAAGAGAATTGGGGCACTAAGTGCCACAAGGTCTCCAAACGACCCTCCGCAGGTTTTGAATTCAGAGTTTTCCTTTTCCTAGACCAGTTGCCATCCAAGGCTATAGAACCCAGTCTGTCCTGCTATTTACCCATAGCTGGAGGGAGAAGAAGAGGATTCACACCTTTTCCAAGGTGTAAGGGAATGTAGTGGATTCGACTGGAATTCGAACTCGGCTCTGCGATTCCTCAATCCAAGCTGCTATCCATTACTCTACCGTGCCTCCTCACCTTCTGTCAAGCCCGCGAGTGTACTACTACCTTTGGGAAAGGTATGAATCTATTGCATCTTCTCCCAACTATGGGTTAAATAGTAGACAACTTTCTAGCCTTGGTTAGCAGCCAGTCGAGGAGAAAGATGAGCATGGAGCGTGTCCAATACACCTCGTGGAGTCTTTTTACTAGGGAAATCACCGCAGCTTCACTAGCTTAGTGTAGCTGTGGCCCTACACTAAACATGAAGATAAAAAGGATTTATCTGTCTTAGCATGCACAGCCACCTTGTGAGGAACAATAGCAGTATACTTGAATAAAGTCATGCTAACTAGCTAACCACAAGTGCACAGTGGTAGATGGGGAAACGGCAATTATTTTTATTCGGAATATACAAAATCTTTTCAAATGAATAAAAATAAATAGAAAAAAAAAAAAACTTTTTCTTGTGATGAAATTTAAGTTTATTTTATTTTTTTTTTTAATCTTTTTCCCAAATTATCACAGCTGGAAGAACAAATATTTTTCCTTTTTTTCTCTTTTTTAGCATGCAATTATTAACGTTATTTTATATATATATATATATATATATATATATATATATATATATATATATATATAAATTGCCAACACAGGGACATGCAATCTGTTGAGGTACATCCACCCGCACATGCACACACTATTGAATAAGATATATAGGCACATCACATACACACTGAAAGATGTGTACATGCATGCATAAGTATACACATGCACACATACACGCACACAAAAAAAAAAAAAAAAAAAAATTCCACAGGTTACATTGGGGGTGGGGAGGGGAGGGATAATGTCCGCTCTAAGCATGTGTACATCCACGTTTTACAATACGTGCACAAAATAAAATGATACTGATAAATTTGTTTTCATTATTATTATTATTACCGTAAATTTCAGTGCATATGTTTGTCGCTAGACACAGATTTGGGTTAAGTGGGGTCTGGGCGCACAGAAATTGAGAACAAGGTTTGTAGCTTTCATTACAGTCAGGTACAATGAAACAAAAAAAAAATGCTAACATCGAGGCAACCAAGGGGTTAATTTCAAATAACGCAAGAGAGAGAAAAAAGTAATTATGTAGAAATAGAGTTACAAATGTAGAAATAGTGGGAAGACAAAGTTCCATTTCGAACTAATATGTGTGTGTATATATATATATATATATATATATATATATATATATATATATATATATATATATATATATATATATGTATATATGTGTGTATGTGTGTATATATAGAGATAGATAGATAGATAGATAGAGATATCTGTATACTTGTAATATCTGAAATATTCTACACCAGAACTTTCAACAGGGTATAAAAAAAACTATTAGAATATTTTTATAAAAAAATTCGAAGCTATTCATTCCAGGAGTAGACATGTTTACTAAACTTTGCTACCCCTCCACACATACACAAAAGTATTAGTTTTTACCAATCTTTAACTCCAATCACTGATGATACCTGGCAGCCAAAAGTTACCTCACCAACCATGCTGCTTACCTAATCTTGGCAGGTTTTAAATACTGAGCATGATTAATTAAATCAGGTGATATACACCTGTGGTGTAGACTAACCCAGACACCCTAAAAATATCAGGTTTTCATGTGAGATGAGAGAATCAACATTTTCCATTACAACTTCCTACAACAGACTTAAAAAAAAAAAAAAATTATATATATATATATATATATATAAATAAATAAAATGATCTTTAGAAAGTGGATCATATTTTATTAATAAAACAGGATACAAAAGTATCACAATGATTAAAATTTTTAGGTACCTTTTGGACCACATAATTATTTGGAGGGTGTGTCGCTCAAAAGGTAGCTAAAATTTTAAATCGCCATGATGCTTTTGTAGCCTGTTTTATTAATAGAATATGATCCTTTTTCTAAAGATCATTTTATCCTGGTGTGTCAATAAAAATCTATATATAAAACAATCTCTCCCCACCCCACCTTCACTCGTAGCACAACACAATCTTCAGGTGCTAAGTAGAGACTGACTGTTACATAATTTATGTGCAAAAAAGTATATTTATTAATATATACTTAATAATTGTGTTATATTACATAAAGTACTATGAGAAATTTAAACTGCTTGTTCCACAAGCAGACAAAGCATTGCGTAACCGTTTTGTACAATACCAGCAGGAAGGTAAGAGTAACATGTGGTTTCCTTTATAAAAAAAAATAAATAAATAAATAAAATAAAATAAAAAAATTTGTGTCTAACTCAAACCCCAATCACTGACACCTAAGAGCAGTCATTCTCAACTGCCTTAGATATGCGATCCTTTTTAAGTTTGGTTTGGTTTACAGCACATCAACCGTAATGGGTTGCTTAATGCCAACAAGACTTTCATTGCTAGTAATAATTTTTTCCTTGAAAAATCCATTGCTGGTATTAAAACCTATTTTTACACTTTCATACTGTTTTGACCCCAGTTTGTGGTGGTGGGGGATGTCTACTATTTGTTCATAGCTGGGACCCTGACAGGTGCTACCACCCCGAGTCAGGGTGGACCTGGGAATACCAGCAATTAAGATGTGGTTCCACACTTCCTCAATACCTCCTGATCAGTGGCCTTGCTGTTGGAAGTATTTAAGCACCTTAACCAGGACACGGATGTAGTTTAGTGTCTTACCCTGGACGTGATCCTTTTAAATGTGTCAGAAAATATCGTTGCAGCATAAGTTTAGTAGTAATGGTACGGCATTAGTACTTGAATAAATGAATATTAACCTTTTTTTTTTTTTTCATATAATCGTATTCAACATTGTTTAATTCAAAAGTTACAGATTTTATTTCATGACATTTAAATGTATACCTTTTAAAGATTTTGCTAAGTGTGCTGCGATATTTTCATTTGCTCCCAGGTGTGCTGTAGCTTAAAAAATTGAGAAACACTGCCTTAGAGGTTGATAGCAACTCATCGACATGATAGCCTAACCTTAGCTGGTTTTAATAGTAAATTGGATTTGATAAAAGTAAATAAATAAAATACACAGATCTATGCTGCAGATAGCACCCACCCCTACTTAAAAAAAAAAAAAAAAAAAAAATGTCCGTGTTTTGTGTACGAACCAAGACAAGAGAGTCGGCATACATTTTTCATTAAACATCTTATTTTTCTAAGACTCGATACTGGATAACCCCAGCCTTTGTGTAAGCAGTCAACCAAACATACATGCCTGATTTGTTTGATGGCATACCAAACTTTAACCAGACAATTTCACACCGATTTCTGTTTTGATAAATAGGTAGGTAGTTTTTTTTTTTTTTTTTTTTTTAACAACTTACCAACCTTTTTCAGGCCATTTAAAACCAGAAATATTGTTTGGATTGAAATAATTTTTTTGGAGATAATGATTTACTGAACAAGTCTTACTAATTAACCCATAGGCGTGGAGAGGAGAAGAGCTGGATTCATACTTCCCGCCACCCCAAGTGCATCTGCTTGTAAATGTTTTTAAAGAAACCAAATTTGAATTAGAACTCTGCTCTCTGATTTCCAATTCCAAGCTGTTATTCGTTACACCAGCTGCACCTGGTATAAACAAGCGGTCACCCATATAGGTACTAACCAGGCTTGATGTTGCTTCATATCAGAACCAGTGTTTCAACATGATATAGCCATAAGCCAATTACAAAAAAAAAAAAAAAAAAAAAAAAAAAAGGTAGACATAGGTAACAGTATACAGGTGGCCACTTTTGGAGCAGAGTGAAGGACTAGTTGCACTGGGGTGCAGTCAATATATCGTCAACAGGTGAACATTTGCTTAGCAACCACAAAAATATTACTACTTCAAACATCTTTGTGATCATGTATCCATCCCCAGATTATACGCATCTGTTGAACTAAACAACAGGATTAAGCATGTCTTTATGTATGCAGCAAAGAATG